CCTCCAGAAGTTGTGAATGCTCCAACACAGGACGTTTTTAAGAAGAGACTGGACAGTCATTTGTCTGAAATGGTATAGGGCAGTGGTTCTCAACCTTTCTAATGCCGCAACCCCATAATACAGTTCCACATGTTGTGGTGACCCCCAACCACTTATACATCATCAGGTGCCAGGGGCATGGCCAAAGAAAAGGGGGAAAAAATGGCGGACAGCCTTGTTTGGTGACCCCCGCGAAATGGTCGTTCGACCCCAAATGGGGTCCCGACCCACAGGTTGAGAACCACTGGTATAGGGTTTCCTGCCTGAGCAGGGAGTTGGACTAGATGACCTCCAAGGTCCCTTCCAATTTTATTATTATTATTAGTTATTGTTATGAAAAGCTATCAAGTGTTTAGCCATCCCTATCTTCAAATTTGGACAAAGCAACTTATCCACGGTATCTAAAAAAAAAAAAAATCAGCTGATACAGCAGCTTAAAATGTGTGACAACTGAGCCAAAAGTGACAATATGCACAATCCATCTTGGATGAGGCAAGTGCTACGTGTGAGATGCCTTTCATTAACCCAGCCTTAATATTTCTTGCAACTACGACTATATCCATAGTTAACATTACTTGATACATTATTTTACAATGCAACAGCATTGGAAAGTTTAAGCTGTAAATGTTTCTAATTAATTTATATCCTGCCTTTATTGTTTTCCCAAATAACTCAAAGATAATATTCCTCCTATTTTCCTCATGGCAATAACCCTGTAAGGTGGGGTTAAGTTGAGAGAGAGTGACTGGCCCAAGGCCACCTGAGTGGCTCTCACGGCTAAGGTGCGATTTGAACTCACGGCTTCCCAGTTTCTAGTTTGGTGCCTTAACCACTAGACCAAATTGTCCTCTCTCCCTCCATACAAACAATGCCAGACTGCAAGGGAAACGTCCCCAGTTCATTCCCCAAAGGCTCTCATAGATGCTTTAAATGTTTTAATTCACAGTAAACTGCTCAGAAGGATACTGGACATTAAAAGAGCAAGTTGGAAAGTTTTCTTTCGCTCAGAAACAGATTACGTATGTTTCAGAAGTTGAGATGTGTCAGCAGTGGGGTCAGATCAATGGAAAGCTAGCCCTCACTGAGATTTCTTATTCAAAAGCAAGCTGCATTGACATTGGGGGCCATTTATGTACTTTACCTCTGAATAATTTAGGCACCAAGCAATGTCCATTCTGTTCCTCTGCGCTTTTAAAAAGCACTTAGGATGTATCCATTTGGCCTCCTTCCAGAACATAGCTTTTGATAGGTATCATTTGTTCTGCTTGAAGCTTGGTTTTCATTATTGTGGGAATTTGATCCTCTCTAAAATGGATTTACATGCCATCTCCAGAGCTTGCATACCAGAAAGAGTAACGTAGACCTTCTACTGATGCACTTAAGCAATTTTCAATTCTAGACATAATGGATTTACCAGAATAGGTGGTATCATTATAGCCATCGTTTGATTTTCCACTGTATTGAAGACTTCCATCTTTATTTTACTGAGTGCAGCTCCAAACGTTTTGCCTGCAAGACCAGCCTTGAAGGAGCCATCCAAATTTTTATTTAAATGCCTTCTGCTGTCTCTGGTTGAAAAGAAAAGGAGGCAATGTAGCTGTGTATTATATATGGTGAAGGCTAAAGAAGACAGGACTTGTGCAAAGTAAATGCAATTTGGAAGAGGGATTTTTCAAATACAACTTTCAAAGGTCTGTTTTACCTGTTAGCATCTCACATGAGGAAACACATAGCTTTCTCTGAATTATTTAAACAGTGTTTCTCAACGTGGGCAATTTTAAGATGTATGGACTTCAACTCCCAGAATTCCCCAGCCAGCATGCTCACTGGAGAACTCTGGGAGTTGAAGTCCACACATATTTACCTCAAATTAAACAAATGTAGTACAGGTAGTCCTCGAGTTAGAACGGTTCATTTAGTGACCTTTCAAAGTTACAACAGCACTGAAAAAAGTGACTTATGACCATTTTTCACAGTTACGACTTTTGAAACATCTCCAGGATCATGTGATTAAAATTCAGACACTTGGCAACTGGTTCATACTTATGACCGTTGCTGTGTCCCAAGATCACGTGACTCCCTTTGCAGCCTTTAGCCAAACAAAGTCAATGAGGGGAAGCCAGATTCACTTAACAGCCAGGTTACTAACTTATCAACTGCATGATTCACTTAACAACTGAGGCAAGAAAGGTCGTAAAATGGGGCAAAACTCACTTAACAAATGTCTCACTTAACAACAGAAATTTTGTGTTCAATTGTGGTCATAAATCGAGGAGTAACTTTACAATAATACAGGGAAGAGCAACAAAGATGATTAGGGGATTGGAAGCTAAAACATACAAGGAACGGTTGCTGGAATTGGGTATGTCTAGTTTAATGAAGAGAAGGACGAGGGGGGACATGATAGCAGTGTTCCAATATCTCAGGGGCTGCCACAAAGAAGAGGGAGTCAAGCTATTTTCCAAGGTGCCTGATGGCAGGACAAGAAGCAACAGATGGAAACTAATCAAGGAGAGAAGCAACCTAGAACTAAGGAGAAACTTCCTGACAGTTAGGACAATTAACCAGTGGAACAACCTGCCTCCAGAAGCAGTGAATGCTCCAACACTGGAGGTTTTTAAGAAGAGACCCGACAGCCATTTGTTCGAAATGGTATACGGTTTCCTGCCTGAGCAGGGGGTTGGTCTACATGACCTCCAAAGTCCCTTCCAACTTTACTACTACTACTACTACTACTATTACTACTACTACTACTACTACTATTATTATTTCAAAACATTTTCTGAGAATACAAGATTAGTTGGGTATCCCTTTTCTATATAACGATTAGAAAAATAGAGGTAGTCCTCAGCTTATAACATTTCATTTAATGACCTTTCAAAATTACAACGGCACCGAAAAAAATGACTTATGACCATTTTTCACACTTATGACTGCAACAAATGAAATGTAGCATGTCTAACCTGACTATAAAAGCAAAGCCAGTTTTGATTGATATATGAGAGATAAATTCTTGTGGAATCCATTTTCTTTTTCTTTTTCCATTAAAAACACACACCCAAAAGCATATAAATACTATTGCTTCCCTCCCAGATTCAAAAGGGTGGGGTTCACATTTTACATTACACTACAGTTTACAACATCAGTGGTTTTCTGAATCAAAACAGGATGGATATTACATATTTTCCATCAGGGCTCCAATTCTTCAAAATACCTCATTTTGACCAGGAATTCAAAATAATAGCTGGGTGCTCAGAATATGCTAAGCCCTCTAATGGTTGGTTTGGTTTATGGCTGATGTAAATTTAACCAAAGTTGGATTATTCTCTAAAACACAAATGCTTTTTCTCACAGCATACCAACACTTCCCCCCCCCCCCCGTTCAATTGTATCTGATTCTTGGAGAATGACTGAACAAGTCCCTCTAGTTTTCTTGAAAAAGTTTATCAGAAGTGGTTTACCACTGCCTTTTTCCTAGGACTGGCCGAAGGTCACCCAGCTGGCTTTGTATCCAAGGTGGGAGTAAAACTCATGGTCTCCCAGTTTCTAGCTTGAGGCCTTAACTACTACACTAAACTGGCTCTTACACCAAGATCTGTAAGGATTAGTACAGGTGGACTTCGACTTTCTGCAAATTTATCTTGCTATGCGAGACAGTTGTTAAGTGAGTTTTGTCCTATTTTACGACTTTTCTGGCCACAGTTATTAAGCAAATCACTGCAGTTGTTAAGTTAATAACACAGTTGTCAACAGCATCTGGCTTCCCCATTGACTTTGCTTGTCAGAAGGTCTCAAAAGGAGATTGATCACATTACCCCGGGATGCTGCAACTATCATAAATATGAACCAGGTGCCAAGCATCCGAATTTTGATCATGTGAACACAGGGATATTGCAACTGTCCTAAGTATGAAAAATGGTCATAAGTTGCTTTTTTTCTGTGCTGTTGTAACTTTGAAGGGTTACTAAAAAAACTGTCCTAAGTGGAAGACCACCTGTATATTGCTTTGTCTTTCACACAGCTGGAAGCAAGTAAAAGTGGATTGTATTGCATTTGTGCGTAAATTTCTATGTTCTTTAAAGTTTATGATAGAACTGCAAGAGATAACCAGGCCTAGGGCTTAGGAGCTGTGGCTGAATCAGTACATTTGTGATTGTTGAATTTGTTTTTATCTCTGCTGCTGTTTTTTTGTGTACTGTTTTTTTATACTTTTTTTCTTTAATATCATGAGCTACCCAAGGTCATGAATTTCAGGTAGGTAGGAAGGAAGGAAGGAATGAATCACTGCAAATGTAAAAAATATATTTCTGTAATTATATGCATTTGCCTGAGAGCAGAGGGATTTCCGCATTGAAAGAAATATAAAACTTCATCTCTAACACTGCCAACCTAATGAGGATGATGATGATGATGAGGCGAATGGGGATCTTCAGAAACTAGCTTTAGCTAATCTAATTATGGGTATGAGTCTAAATTGACTGCAAAAAAGCACATTCAGGGGAAACTTTAAACGGGTGAACAAAATTAGATGAAAAATGCAAAGGGTCCATTGTTTCATTTAACGAAGTATCGGGTTTCCCCTCTCCAAAGGATCTGAATTAGAAATTTGCATCAAAATTGTAGTGTACGGCTTTTAGTTCAAGGCTGGAAAAAAAAAATCCGGGGTCACTTGGCACCTCTGCTGCCACCCACCGGTCGTTCGGATTTTGCAGCCCAGATCTGGCAATTTACTTTTAGCGTGGCAGTCTCAGCCTACGGCGCTTCCCATAATATTAACAATATTATTTCCTATGAATGACATCGACTTCCGCTGTGCGGAGACAAAAAAACGGATTGCAGAAAACTCCGATAAGAGAGGCTAGCCTTGAAAAGCAACTCTATGGTTGTCCTCCAGGGGTATGACAACACTCTCTACGCTGGCGTTTCCCCTCTCTATGATCTTTTCCCCCAGGGTCTTTCATTGGTTCTGGGACAAGCGGGGAGAAGGTCAGACCGTTTACTCTCCGTTTTCCAGGACTCGAATGGTCCAATCAAGTGAAGGAAAGCTTTTAAGCGGCAGCGGAGTGGACGAATGAAAACCCTTCCTGCCGAGAAAGGTGGGGCGCGTCCAGAAAGAGCGGTCGCCCTCCTTCGCTTTTAGGGTTGCTCGGAGGTGGGGGGTGCAAGGAAGGTGATTTTCCCCATCTCCTTTTATCTAATTTTAGCTGAAATCTCCTTCACCGACTTCCTGCAGTTTAGTCGGGAAAGGGCTTGCTGCGGCTTTAAGGCTTAAAGGGCCATGCCTCTAAAAAAGTTGGCTGCCCAGTAAGGTGGGAGGAGGGGGCCAAAACAGGAATTGGGGGCATCGCCACGATCGGGGAAAGGATTAATGCTAGGAAGGGAAAACGGCGATTCGGATCTATAAAGCGAAGCGAGGCAGGTTTCCACTCTGCAGGAAAATATTTCCTTTATTTATTGCAGGATGGAACAAACTCAGTTACTGGAGTGGGATGGAGAAGGCGATTCTACTGATGGGTCTGATGCTGCAGGGGAGACCCCTAAACCGGTGGGGCGCTTGCATCAGCTGAGCAGCACGTACGGCCCTGACAAAGGTAAGGCCTAATGGACCTGTGTCTTCCTTAGAGCTACAGGTGACCTAGTGGCTAGTCAAGTCCCAGATTCTCCAATGCACCCGAAGGCAAGAGAAGAAACAATGGATGGAAACTAATCAAGGAAGGAGACAACCTGGAATTAAGGAGAAACTTCCTGACAGTGAGAACAATTAAACAGTGAAACAGCTTGCTTTCAGAAGTTGTGGGTGCTTCATCACTAGACGTTTTTAAGAACAGCCACTTGTCTGAAATGGTATGGTCTCCTGCTTGAGCAGGGGTTTGGACTAGAATCAGGGATAGGCAACCTTGGCTCTTTTATGACTTGAGGACTTCAACTCCCAGAATTCCTGAGTCAGCATGGCTGGTTCAGGAATTCTGGGTATTGAAGTCCACAAGTCATAAAAGAACCAAGGTTGCCTACCCCTGGACTAGATGAACTCCAAGGTCCCTTCCAGCTCCATTCTGATCGATTGATCACTCCAGATTCATATTTACTGATATCAAAGTGTATTTTTGCTGTAGAGTGTGCTTCCTTCCTAACCCACGGTCTATAAAAAGACTGGTATGTTTACAATATCAGTGTGTTCAGTACATATTTGCTTGTTGCTATTTTGCATGATTGATGGGTTCTTAATGTTCTCTATGCTTGCTTCACTTCCTGCAGATGTTTCATTTCCAGGCTACATAAATTCATCAAGGTGTGGGGGAGTAGTTGTAGGCCAGTGGTGGCGAACCTATGGCACGCGTGCCAGAGGCGGCACTCAGAGCCCTCTCTGTGGGCACGTGCGCCATGCCCCAGAGATGGCAACCATCCCTCTTCAACCAGCTGCCTACTAACTCGCCGAGGTCCCATGTGGCCAGATGCATCCCAGCACTCATGCGCTCGCTGGCCTCTGTATGCAAGGGCCGATAGTGTCAGGCAGCAGCCGCCCCGGTCCCTGCCTCACCTTGCCCTGTGGCAATGGCACCCCCGCCCTGCCTCACCTTGCCTTGCCTCTCCCCGCAGGACGCAGGACGAGCCTCCTGCCCATCACCCCACCTGCCAGAGACCCCCTGGATTTCCCTCAACCCTGCCCGGCTCCCACAGGCGTCCCTCCCCACAAGCAACATTGAGGTTATCACGCCCACCTTGTCCACACCAACCCAATCTGCCATGACCATCACAGCCATGCCTATCCAGTGGGCCACGCGCACCTGGCACCCGGTGATGAATAAGTGGGTTTTGGGTTGCAGTTTGGGCACTCGGTCTCTAAAAGGTTCGCCATCACTGTTGTAGGCTGTTTACATGTGGTAGCTTGCCTTATCGGCCTTGATAGGGTATTATTTCTTCCTTGATTGGATGGAACATTTTTGGGGACAGATGATGTTACCCAGTTTGGGTAATGAAAGAAAACAACCAATTTAAGAGGGCACCAAAGCTTCCTCATTTCAACCCTGAGCTACAAATATTCTCCGTTATTGGGGACATTGTTTCTTCTTTGATTGGTCTTGTTTATCTGGAGCTGGTTCTTGCTTATCTGGCTGTTGGCTAATTAGCATGTGAGAAAAACTGATGAGGGATTAGGGCTCTTTGCTCCTGTTCTTGTACCTCGATTGCTTCCTTTCTTGAAGGGGCTTGTTGAGAGTACAGATTTTGATGCATCTCTTAAATGGTTGATTCCTCAATGATTTGCTTCTAGGAAGTTTCTTGGATTTTTGATCTGGCTTGGTCTAAGATGGGTAGGCAACTTGGCTCTTTTATGATTCGTGGACTTCAGCTCCCAGAATTCCTGAGCCAGCCAGCCAGCTCAGGAATTCTGGGAGTTGAAGTCCATAGTCATAAAAGAGCAAAGGTTGCCTACCCCTGGTCTAATGTCAACAGTTTTCTCAATGAAAATTGTGATTGAATGTATTAGTATGTTTGAAAACTAAGAACTTTTCATCACAAAACTCGCAGTTTTCATGGGTATGTTTTCTGTCTACCTGCTCCACATAGCGGTTTTTAATTGCTTGTACTTTCTGACATAAATAACACTTAACTTGGTTTTCTTGGGCTGTTGGCTTCTGAGTTTGTTTGGGATCCTTTGGATAAATTCTTGTGGTCTGTGGGCCTGGAGTTGTACTAGTTTCAGAGTTGTCTTTTGGTGGAGATCCTTTTCATGTATTGTGTAGGTTTCGTGGATAGTCACTTTTTGAGGAAATTGCATGTTACAATTAGAGCATGTTACAAAGCTATTTTTGGCTTTTTTAAATTCTGGTTTACTGCAGTGTGTTGAGAACACTTGAGAACACTTTTTACACAGCTTCTTTTGTTTGCTGTTGAGGTGTTTCTGTGATAGTTACGTACCTGATCAGTTGATTTGCTTTTGTGGTGAAAAATGGAATGTATTTTAGCTGAATGTACTATGCTGACTGAGAATTTAGAAACCATTATTATTATATTTTGAATGCAGTGATTGTAGAAATAAGTGACTGGTTTAAGTATTTTGGTGATTGCTAGTACTAAATGTACTCAACGTGTGTTCCCCAATCGAACATGTCACTGAAATCATGGTTAATCTGAATGAACTCCTTGGGAGAATGGGCATATCGCCCTGGTCAGTTAGGGCTAACATCCATATGGGGAGAGTCCTATATATATCTCTATCCCGTGCACATAGGGCAGTAGATTGCACTGCTGGCATGCAGAGGGAGAGAGGGAAGGACAAAGAGGGTTAGCTTACATATGCATGTTATGGCCCATTAAGTCAAGTCTAACTCCTGGTGACTCCAGGGACAGATTCCTGCAATTTTCTTGGTGACATTTTTGAAAATAATTTGCCCTGGCCCTCTTCTAGGGATGAGAGTGACTGGCCCAAAGTCACCCAGCTGACTTCTATGCCCAAATCAGGATTAGAACTCATGGTCCTCTAGATTCTGTTTCAGCACCTTAGATCAGTGGTTCTCAACCTTTTTAATGCCGCGACCCCCAACCGGTTGTAAGTCGAGGACTACTCAACCGGTCGTAAGTCGAGGACTACTCAACTGGTGCAGCACCGTTTGCAGAATGGGACTTTTGGCGGGCTCAACAGGGCAGAGACAGCCTGGATAATTCCTATTGGCTTTTGAAAGCCAATAGAATTAGACTCTATTCAAGAGAGTCTATTGTATTGGCTTTCAAAAGCCAATAGAATAAAAGGGAGTAGCACAGCTAAGGAAAAGGGGGAAAAAATGGTGGACTGCGTTGTTTGGCGACCCCCATGAAATGGTCATTCGACCCCAAATGAGGTCCCGACCCACAGGTTGAGAACCACTGACTTAGATCAAGCCGGTCCTCATTTATGCATGGCTGGCGGTTTCTGTACCGAATGACAGAAATGGGAGTAAGTCTAAAAATTCAAGGAAGGATGGAGTTCCTTATAATCATTCTTTTACTTTATAACTAAACTGTTGAGCAAACCTTTTGACCTACCTTGAATGAAAGCATGGTTAGATTTCCAGGATTTAAATTGGTAATGGGGGAAAGCTCGAAAATGTATTTATTTATTAAATCCCAATTATATGGCTGCCCTTCCCCCCAAAAAAGTAACTCTGGAGAGTATACCCAAATAGTATTGAATATAACGTTTGAATTTGTTGTTGTTGTTACTTGCGAAGTCGTGTCCGACCCATCGCGACCCCATGGACAACGTTCCTCCAGGTCTTCCTGTCTTCTACCATCTTCTGGAGTCCATTCAAATTCACACCTACTGCTTCAGTGACTCCATCCAGCCATCTCATTCTCTGTCGTCCCCTTCTTCTATTGCCCTCAATCTTTCCCAGCATTAGGCCCTTCTCCAGTGAGTCCTTCCTTCTCATTAGGTGGCCAAAGTACTTGAGTTTCAACTTCAGGATCTGGCCTTCTAAAGAGCAGTCGGGGTTTGAATATTATATTCAAATAGAAAAACAAATACATAAAATAATTGTTATCAAACTATAAAAAATCATTGTTAAAATTGAAAATACTATATTTTTAAATACATATTTATAAAACCTTTGTATGACTTTTATAACTACTTTTGGATAGCATCTATCTTGCCAGCGTTTTTCACTTGATTTCACCACGTGTGTAAGTAAAACTAGGTTTCTGTGGCAACCATGAAAGTAAAGGTTTCCTTGGAGAGGAACCAACTAAAAGTCAAGAGGGCAGCCTCAACCAAATCAAAGCTCCGCCCCCTTGTTTATGTTCATTGCAATGCAATTTTAAAAGGGGCGGGCCTTTGGTCACATTGTTGTGGCTGTCATCTTGAATTTTTTTTTTTTTGACCCTCCTGCATGGAAATAAAACAGATCACCCAAAGGAGATTTTTTTCTTCTTCACGTGTATTGTGTATTCTCTCTCTAGATTTCTGGATCTACCCTGGCGAGAACGCCATTGGTCGCTTGGAACACTGTCATGTCTGCTTGCCTGCCAGTTCTGTTTCCAAAGCGCATGCGGTGATCGAGGTCCCCTCCTCCCGCGGACCCCACCTTTTGTACGATCGGGGCAGCTTGAACCGGACTCGGCGCCAGCGGGTGGCCTTGATCCCACAGGTCCGCTACAGCCTCCAAGATGGGGACACCTTGGTTTTTGGAGATGTGACATGCCAGTACTTCATCCTGGCCCCGGATAGCGATTGTGACTCCCTGGAGGAATCCATGGCAGTGCCACCCACCCAGGAAAGAGTGGAGGCCAGTGCACTGGCCATTGAGGAAACACCTGCGCCGGGCAGGAGAATAGGCTTTGGGCAAGTTCTGGTCCAGGATTCTGACAAGGAAGAGGAAGGGGAGGAAGTGATCAATGGGACAGGAAGCAACCTGCCCCACACAGCAAGAGACGGTAAGGAATCAGTGTTCAGATTGGGGCCTTTGCCCTGGCAGCGGCAGGATCTGTTCTACAGGTATTCCTTGACTCACAACTCTTTATTTAATGGCTGGTCGAAGTTACAACAGCACTGAAAACAGTGACCTACGACTGTTTTTCACACGACCATGGCAGCATCCCCAGGGTCACATGATCAAAATTCTGACGCTTGGTAACTGATATTTATGATGGTTACATGTGATCCCCTTTGTGACGACTTGACAAGCAAAGTCAGTGGGGAAGCTAGATTCATTTAACGACCATGTTACAAACTTAACAACTGCAGAGATTTACTTAACAACGCTGGCAAGACAGGTCGTAAAATGGGGCAAAACTCACTGAACAACTGTCTCACTTAGCAACGGAAATGTTGGGCTCAATTGTGTTCGTAGGTCGGGGACTACCTGTATTAAATTCCTCAACTAAAACAACCAGATCTTTGAATGCAAAGTTATCCTTTGATTCTTGGGAGAGCCAAAAAATAACCGAATGTAAGATTGACTCAGAAATCATCTTTGTGGGGGTCCAGACGTTCATTTTGTCATTCCTTCCTTTAGAAAAACACAAGAAGTTCCTAATCTTTGTGAATAACATTTGAAAATTGAGTTGCAAAGGTTTCCCCGGAGGGCAGGGAATGTCCCAGGTCTTCGTATCTTTTCTGTTTCACTTCTGTTTCACTTCTTTTCTGATTGAGAAAATCAATATAACGCATACAGGAAGTCCTTGAGTTACACCCAGTCACTTAGCAATTGTTTGAAGTTACAATGGATTCTCAAAAAGGTACTTATGACCCTGTTCCACAGTCACAATGGTTCCCGCGCAGCCATGTGAACACATTTGGGGGGTTTGGCAACCGACCCACATTTATGGCTGTTAGCAGTGTCACATGGTCACTTGGCTGCAAATAATAATAATAATAACAACAACAATAAAATTGGAAGGACCTTGGAAGTCATCTAGTCCAACCCCCTGCTCAGGCAGGAAACCAACATGCAGACACATGACTCCAGGTGTGTGGGAGTGACTGATGGAACTTCAAATCCAGGTCATAAGTATCCCCCAAGTATGTCCATCGTCACTTCAACAACAACAACATGCTAACTACTACTACTACTACTACTACTACTACTACTACTACTACTAATAATAATAATAATAATAATAATAATAATAATGTTGGAGGTCATCTAGCCCAATCCCCTGCTCAGGCAGGAAACCCTATACCATTTCAGACAAATGGCTGTCTAGTTTCTTCTTAGAAACTTCCAGTATTGGAGTCTTCACAGCTTCTGCAGGCAGGTTATTCCACTGGTTAATTGTTCTAACTGTCAGAAAATGTCTCCCTAGTTCACAGGTCGGCAACCTGCGGCTCCGGAGCCGCATGCGGCTCTTTGAGCCTTCCCCTGTGGCTCCCAGCCTCCTCTGCCTTTGCAGAGAGAGACAGAGACAGAGAGAGGCAATTGCACTTCCCTGCTTCTCTCTTTCTCTCTCTCTCTCTCTCTCTCTCTCTCTCTCTGTGTGTCTGGGTGTGTGTGTGTGTTTTGTGTGTGTGTGTGTGTGTGTGTGTGTATATGTGTAAAAGAGAGTGCACTCACAGTGTTCTCCGAGGAGCTGAAAAGCTTTCTGGGCGGAGCTCCTCCCTTTGCTGCGTCTCTGAAGGAAGCAGGAAGGGCAGGAGAGAGCTAGCTAGCCCAGCTAGGCTGACTCAGGAATTCTGGGAGTTGAAGTCCATGAGTCATAAAAGAGACGAGGTTGCCTACCCCTGATCTTGTTGGACAACAGCTTGAAGCTTGCCATGTGAGCAGCAGATAGGAGGGGGGGGAGAGAAAGAGAGAGAGAGGGAGAGAGAGAGAGTGGGGGAAGAGGAGTGGCAGACCAAGGGCAGATAGAGAGGGAGGGAGAGAGAGACCCTTTTGACATCTAAAATGAAGATAACACTGCATATATCCTTTTTTTAACCTCTGTGTGTATGTAATTTTATTCTCTTAAAGCATTCTCTTGGTGATCATTGTTTTAATAGTATGGATATTCCCAAGAGTCATATTTTTACTTTTATTTTTAATGTGTATATGTGTGTGTGTGTGTGTGTGTGTGTGTGTGTGTGTGTGTGTGTGTATATACACACACACACACACACACATACACATACACATACACACACACACACACATACACACACCTATAATAAAGGTAAAAAAGGATATATGCAGTGTTATCTTCATTTTAGATATCAAAAGGGTTTTGCGGCTCCCAGTGTTTTGTTTTTAGTGGGAAACGGGTCCAAGTGGCTCTTTGAGTGTTTTGGGTTGCTTACCCCTGCCCTAGTTCTATGCTGGTTCTCTCCTTGCTTAGTTTCCATCCGTTGCGTCTTGTCCTGCCTTCCGACATTGTGGAGAATAGCTTGACTCCCTCTTCTTTGTGGCAGCCCCTGAGATATTGGAATACTGCTATCATGTCCCCCCTCGTCCTTCTCTTCATTAAACTAGACATACCCAATTCCAGCAACTGTTCCTTATATGCTTTAGCCTCCAGTCCCCTAATCATCTTTGTTGCTCTTCTCTGTACTCTTTCTAGAGTCTCAACAATTTATGATGTTGTTGCTGAAAACCAAAGCTTACTTCTGTTTCCATCAAAAAAACACAGCGAGCAGTGGGTTTGCTTTATGACTACAATGTTTGCTTAATGACTGCTACAAAAAAGGTTATAAAATTGGGTCGGCCACATGTATTGATTTAGCGTATGGCAAAATAATGGATCAGTCACATGATGACCTGCTTTACAACCATCGCGACTTAAGGCTGTAATTGCCAAGCTCAGTTACAGTCATAAGTCAAGGACTTATATTTGAGAGATGGGCAGCCATATACATTGATTTTAATTAATCAATCTTTTAACTGGAGAAGATGCTGTTTAGACCAATTAATGTGCATTTCCCCAAAAACCTTAACAAATATGTACAGGAATGGAATTGATGTGGGATGAAATTTTCCTGTGGAACATTTTCTGGCAGTTTTTTCCTCCCACCGCCACTGCTTTGAACACCATTAAAGTGAAAAGAATAGGAAATGCCTTAATACTGATTTTTCTTATTTCCATCTTTCTTCTTTACCAACAGAGTCTGGTTGCTCTAACAAAAATGGCGTAGGAGAAGGACAAGTGAGTTTGGCTTCCTTTGGTGTCTCTTCTCCCTCGTCTACGGTGGTGCCTGAAAGGTAAATCATCATGTAGCAACTTCCTTGCGGTTAAAACCTGGAATATTTTTGCATTTTTGAAAGGCGTATATAAGGCATGATTCATGCGTTATATTAAATTATGGTTTGTTACAACCATTATTTATAGGGACTACCTAGCAGTTGTTTGGGTTGGCTGAGGAATTCTGGGAGTTGAAGTCCACAGGTCATAAAAGGGTCAAGTTTGAAGACCCCTGACATAGAATAATGGATTGGAAGGAACCTTGGAGGTCTCCTAATCCAACCCGCTGCTTGATTGGTAGACACTCAACCATTCTGGACAAATGGTTGTCCAATTTTTTCTTGAAAACCTCCACTGATGGAGCATCCACAGTTTCTGGAGGCAAGCTATTTTACTGATTAACTATTCTCACTGTCAGGAAATTTCTTCCTAATACTATGCAGGTTTATGAACCAAAGTGCTTTGACTGAGAGAATAGGCTAAATTTAAACCTGACAAAGCACATTATAACTTAGCATGTTGTGAACACGGCCTGAGTCTATTGTAGGAAGAATTAGATTAATCTGTGGAAGGATGAACCTCTCCATAGTTAATACATAATGGAATTGCTTGCTCAAGTTCATGCGTAGCATGTTTTTGATTAAGACACGTAAGGGTAGGATAGTGGCTGGGTGTGACTCCCTGTGTGTTAATTTTCAAGAGACCGTCTTTGAGGAAAATGAGTGGTTTAGAAATAGAAAATATAAATAAAATAAATCAGATGCTGGATAGGCGGATGGCCTCCTTCTGCTTCACACTGCATACATTTTAGAAAAGAATTATGTTTGAATTTTGATGAATGAATCATGACTGATAGTCCTTGACTTACAATCATAATTAAGCCCACAATTTTAATCATAAATCATGAGGGCAGTTGTTAAGTGAATGCCGTGGTCACTAAGCAAACCTGTTGTTTACTAGAGGGTGGTTTTTTTGTTTTGTTTTGCCAGAGACCAGAAATAAATGCTGGTTTAGAAAAAAAATGTCATAAATCATGGTTATCTAACTCTGGGATGCTGCAAATGGCCGTAAATGTGGTCACGTGACAGCAAAACTTTTTGAACCAAAATACTTCAAATGGGCTAACTTGCCAAATGTGTCCGAAGTCTGAGATCCATGTCTCCTATTGAACTGAATTTTAGCAAATTTTGTAAAACCTTTTGACATCGACATGATCATAAAGTAGTTTATGACATGATTCAAAATGACGTAGAACATTTCCTGTGCTGATGTTTGACTGTGCTATAAAGTTCAACATGGGCTCTTCTCGAGGCAGATACCTCTCTGAATATATCCTTGAATTTTTAAGAAAGTTTCAAATAGAAGAAGTCCCTGACTTACAACCATTCATTTAGTGACTGTTTGAAGTTACAGTGGCACCGAAAAAATTGACTTATGACCGTTTTTCACACTTATGACCATTCTAGCATCCCCATAATGAAGTAATTAAAATTTGGATGCTTGGCAACTGGTTCATATTTATGATGCTTGCCGTGTCCCGGGCTCATGTCATGAGCTGCGACCTTCTGACAAGCAAAGTCAATGGGGAAGACAGGTTCACTTAACAACCACATTACTAACCTAACAACTGCAGTGATTCGCTTAACAACTGTGACAAGAAAGATGGTAAAATGGGGCAAAACTCACTTAACAACTGTCTTGCTTAGGAATGGGGATTTGGGGTTCAATTTTCGTCATAAGTTGAGGACAACCTGTACATTAGAATCTCTGCCGTTGTGGAAGGCAGCCACTGAAGAATCCGGTAAGGAAATATCTCTTCAACCATGACCCAATGGGCCGCGGGGCTGTCTCGTTAGGTCAATAAAGCACGGCTAACTAAATGATATTCAGTGTATAAATACAGGAAGATTTGAGGTCTAGACTGCTGAGTTAGCTGTAGACTTTGCTGTCAGGACTTGTGATGATGGCAGCCAATTTAGATGCTGTTAAAGAGGATTGAGAAGGTTCATAGAGGATTAAGTTATCAGTGGCTTATTTATGGCTGTTTACAGCCTCCTGAACCAGAAGGAGCCGGTCTTTAATATGGTCGCTAGGTAGCAACAGCAGGAGAAAACTTTTGCCCTCCACTCACGGCTTGTCAACATCCTTGGTGCAGCCAGTTGGTGTCCACCTTGCCAGGTAGACAGGAATTCTGGGAGTTGAAGTCCATGAGTCATAAAAGAGCCAAGGTTGCCTATCAGTTTTTTTTATCAAAATAAGAAATACAGGGAGTCCTTGACTTAACGACCACCACTGAGCCAACATTTCCGTGGCTAAGCAAAACATTTATTTGCCCCATTTTACCACCTTTCTTGCCACAGTTGTTAAGTGAATCATGGCAGTTGTTAGGTTAGTAACATGGTTGTTAAGTGAATCTGGCTTCCCTATTACCTTTGCCTGTCAGAAGGGCGCAAATGTTGATCACATGACCCTGGGACGCTGCGACCATCATAAATATGAGAGTTGCCAAGATTCTGAATTTTGATCACACTTAACGACCGTTGATGCTGCAACGGTCATAAGTGTGAAAAACTGCCATAAGTCACTTTTCTCGGTGCCATTGTAACTTGAAATGGCCACTAAATGAACTGTTCTAAGTCGAGGACCACCTGTAAAACACAGAGCAGCTGGAAAATCATGAAAATCCTTCAGCAGAGCCAGGAAACAGGATCTGTCACAGACCTGGAGCTTGAGCCCAAAACCAAATTCTCAAGGTCCATCAGGGTTGGAGGCGAACCTAGTTCTAGAGCCCCAGGGTGGGGGTCTTTAAACCTGGCAACTTGTAAAGTCCAATTCCCAGGCTGGCTGAGGAATTCTGGGAGTTGAACTCTACCAGTCTTAAAATTGCCAGGTTTGGTTACCCTGCTCTAGAGGGATGATATTGCATTGTTAAAAGTCTGATGAATGAAAATCAATAGTTGCTGTGATTATTGTATAAAAGCAGAAGTATTTCACATCAAATAGATAAAGTATTTATAGTCCATGCAGGCGACAGGTCGTATCTGAGAAAAGTATCCGCCTTTCAATCATCGGCAGGACATCTTCCTTTTAGCATATGGAAATCTTGATATCTTAGTCCAGGGGTAGGCAACCTTGGCTCTTTTATGACTCGTGGACTTCAACTCCCAGAATTCCTTAGCCAGCCATGTTGAGGGGAAGGGAGAGGTTTCAAAGCTGAGCCATGCTGGCTCAGGAATTCTGGGAGTTGAAGTCCACAAGTCATAAAAGAGCCAAGGTTACCTACCCCTGTCTTAGTCCCTATTAAAAACAAATGAAACACTCTTTCTTTAAAAAAAATGAAAACTAGTTTGGATGTTTGTTTAATTGTTTAAAATATGGGATACCAGGCACTGTAGTCTACTCCATCAAATGGATACGAGATTGTAAGGAGAGCTCAACAGGTTGTCCTTGACTTACGAACATTCATTTGAAACCAGTTTGAAGTCAAACGTATGAGTGTTGCACCACCCCCACGGTCCCGTGATTGTGATTTGGGTGCTTGGCGACTGGCTCACATTTATGACAACTGCCGCTCCCTGTGGTCACTGATGGTGACTTGTGACCTTTCCAGCCAGCTTTCAACAAACGAAGTCAATGGGGGAGTCAGATTTGCTTAACGACTGCAGTGATTTATCATAATGACTACAACAAAAAAATTATGAAATTGGGAGTGGTCATGTGATAGCTCGCTTAACGACCGCAATGCTTATCGATAAAATTTCTGGTCCCAATTGCAGTTATAAGAGCCGTGGTGGCACAGTGCTTAGGATGCAGTATTGCAGGCTAACTCTGCCGACTGTCAGGAGTTCGATCCTGACCGGTTCAAGGTTGACTCAGCCTTCCATCCTTCCGAAGTCAGTAAAATGAGGACACAGATTGTTGGGAGCAATATGCTGACTCTGTAAAACCGCTTAGAGAGGGCTGTGAAGCACTGTGAAGCGGTACATAAGTTTAAGTGCTATTGCTGTAAGTTGAAGACTACCTGTATTTTTTCTAATTGGGAGAATAGTTCTAAATAGCAATGTAGAAAACTCCAATTACCGAGAGCTTAAATTGTTCTGCTTTCTGTTTGTTTCTCAAGTGATGATGAAAGTGGAGACCTTTCAGCCAGTGGCCCACCCTGCCCTGCTCTGCGTCTTTCCTTTGAGAGCCAGGATGCTGAACGGGGCCCCACAGAGAATGGTGATGGTCATTCTTCCAGCAGAAAAGACTCCGGAGAACCCACAGCCGAAGAGGAGGGAGCTTCTACAGAACATGGCTTGGTGGAAGGCTTTCATTTGGACAGTGACACAGATGTAGAGGACGAAAGCCAAATGGGTTGCGTCTCCGAAGCACCAGCATCATTGGACCCATCAAAAAGGGATAGGGACCTAGAGGTGGACACTGAGCCTGATCTGAATGAGTCTTCAGTGATGGCTCCAGAGATCCATTGTCCCCAAACATCAGTTGAGCTGGGCAGTGATACAGATGCGGAAGAGACCATGGAAAGCCCAGCTGCCTTCAGATTAAAGCTTCCCTCCACTTCTCTGGAAAAAGAAGATGATGACACCGACATGGAAGCAGAAATGGAAAGTCCAAGTGTTGTTGGTCCAGGGAAACATAAGCCTGTTTCCCCAAAAGAGGATGACTGCCAACAGCTGGAAGGCAATGTCCAACTTGGTGGGGAAAAGGATGATGATACAAATTTGGAGGAGGCTTCGGATAATTCGGAAAGCGGTGTGAATGCCCTGCCTCCCACAGCCCATGAAGATGTTGACACAGATGTGGAAGGCTCCTCTGTCAAGGGAGAGGCTCCAGGCAGGACCAAGGACCACGAAGTAGGTGGAGACAGTGACGGGGATGATACCGAGGAGGAAGTGATTAACCCATGGCTGGAGAATTCAGAAGATACTTGTCCTCAGAGGACCTGTTTTTCAAGTGCCAAGAAGAACAGCATGGACAGGGAAGAGATCCACCTCAAGAGGATTGTGCCAGATGATCATCGCGTTGGTGAGGGACTCAGCGACGTGGTTGGGTTGACACAAAATTCTAACCTTGGACTTGAGATGAGTTACGAAGTCGGTGACAAGTCTCCTAGGGACTTCGATGAGAAGGAGCCCTTGCCAAACCCCGAGCATCACAACCTGCCCCTACTCTTTCTGGGTAGCGATACAGATGGGGAAGAGGAGGCAGGTCATCCGGATGCAGAATCAAAGGAGAACCCGCAATCCTCCGGTGTGGAGTCCAGCAAAGGAAGTAGAGTGAGCCATTTGGGGGATCCAGATATCGGATCTCAGGAAAAACCTACATCTGTACAAGACAAGGACAGCGATACTGATGTGGAAATGATGCCTGTGGGTCATGATAAATCCACAGCTCAGGACAGTGATACGGATACAGAGGACGTTGCTGCACCTTTACTAAGGAAACCCCTAGAAGAGAAAGGCGCACAGTCGATAATCCCAGTGAAATCTGAGGCAGGAGAAGAGCAGTTGGCTTCTTCTGCAGTGGGGGTTGGAGTGTCCCTCAAATCTCGTGAAGACGATGAAGATACAGACGCAGAGGGAGAGGAATCCTATTCGGCAGACGAGAGCAACACCGATGGTAAGGAGAAAGGAGAAAAGAGAGAGAGAAATTTCAAGTACTGTTGTCTCCATATTGCTACAGAGATTCCCAATCCTCCAGGTCATGGTTGTCCCAAAGATGCTTTTTCCAAAAGGCAACTGGACTTCCTGGTTTTGTTTTGTTTTTTCCCCTTGAAAACGTTTCACTTCTCATCCAAGAAGCTTCTTCGGTTCTGGCAAGCCAGGGCAAAGCCAGGACAGTTTTGGCAAGCTGAAGAAGTTTCTTGGATGAGAAATGAAACGTTTTCAAGGGAAAAAACCCAATAAAGCCCAGTTGCCTTTTGGAAAAAGCATCTTTGGGACACCAGCTGACTATTGTTTTTTTTTCATCCTAATGTCGTGATTTCATTAGGCAAGGTGTATAAATTCCACTACTCTAAAGCAGTGGTTCTCAACCTTTTTAATGCCGCGTTTCCCCAACCGGTCGTAAGTCGAGGACTACTGAACCAGTCGTAAGTCGAGGACTACTCAACTGGTGCAGCACCGTTTGCAGAATGGGACTTTTGGCGGGCTCAGCAGGGCAGAGACAGCCTGGACAATTCTATTCAAGAGAGTCTATTCTATTGGCTTTCAAAAGCCAATAGAATAAAAGGGAGTAGCACAGCTAAGGAAAAGGGGGAAAAAAATGGCGGACTGCGTTGTTTGGCGACTCCCGTGAAATGGTCGTTCGACCCCAAATGGGGTCCCGACCCACAGGTTGAGAACCACTGATCTAAAGGTACAGTTGAACTCGCTACGGGACAATTTAACAATTCTATTTAATGACTTAAAATAAATTTTAAAAATATTTTAATCTTTGCCATTCACATTTCATTCTGTCCCTCCTTTTGCACCCTTCTTTCAATGATTCTGTTCCACTATTTCTTTGATATTAGGGTATTATTAGACAAGCCCTGCATCCGGCCAATAATTGCTGAAGCTCTGTTCAGTCGTCCCAACTCCACCTCTATGCAAGGGGGTTACAGGGTCGTTAAAAGAAAAAAAAATATTCTTCATTGTATGTAGTTTGTATCCCTTTCCAAACACTTCATCTTTTTTAAAATTTATGTAAGTAAAATATGTTCACATATTTATCTGTAAGCATATCAACAACACAATAATGCATTAGTTATTACAAATGTCACAATCTCGTGATGTTAAAAAAAATAGTAACAAATTATGTACAGTGATACCTTGGGATTCATCATTAATTGATTCTAGGAGTCACAATGAGTATCAAACAGATTTTTCCCGTAAGGAATAATGTAATGAGTCAGAAGGCAGCCGACACCGACAACCTCTATCTAGCGCATCAAGTACCCAACAAACGATGAGTGCCGGGACAAAATGTTTATGTCAAACTGTGCTGAGCACTAAATTGGATGAGTTTCAAAGCAGTTGAGTACCAAGGTTCTACTGTAATCTGAATTCAGATTATACGATGAGTTCTTTCGGGATTTAAAGTTAACTTTAAACAGAAAAAAGGTGGGGGGTGGAAATAATTTAAAACTTACATGAAACAACTTTTAGAAAGATATGGCCAGATAATTCCCTCTGTTGAATAGAGTATCATTCAAAGACTGGCAGGTTTAGAGACATTGCTGTTTTCTGATACTGTCTAATATGTAGGAAATGCCGTTTTGGGTTATTTATCCATCTTTACTTGGGACTAAGCTCACAATGTACATAATACATTTATTTCCACACTTTTCTCTTTCAGACGAGATTGATGTGTCCTTGCAGGCCACACAGTGTTACCTGCCAACAGAAACCACATCACCTAGACCAGAAAAAGCTGGAGGTATCACAGCTACAGGTAAGAAATATTGCTGAACTTCTGGATCATCTGGAAGAGAAGAGACTTAATGGGCTAAAAGCCAGGACGTTTGGCTCCTGGGTTCAGTGGCAGAAGAAGTAATTAGGGCATGACAGACCAGGAGCTGTAGGTTAAGGCCCTGTGCAGATTATGGGTTGGTTATGCAGGGTTTGTGATCCCAAAGCAAAGCCTCGTCTATTACCAGTGGAACAGAATGGACAGTAATCATAGTGGTGATCCGTGATTTTTGTGAACGTGCCTTCAGTGACAAATAAAAGATTAAACAGGAGGCAGTTGACAGGGAGAGAAGTTTAAACATCTAGAAATGGGTTGAGGACGAGAGAAATGGGTCATTTGTTATGATGGCTTCAGGAAGCCCTCTGAATTTTTGATAGACATGGATTAATAGTGGAAAAGAGTTATTAGGCCCCTAGTTAAGGATTTCATACAGACTTTGGGTCGGATAAGGAGGGAAACTAGATACCAGCCTAGCTCTGAGCCTGCCTCCATCCATTAAGGCTCTATTTGTGTTCCTAAATGGTAGTTTGGAAACAGTCATGAGTTACACTGATGATGTTACCTATTTGGGTGATGAAATGTCTGCAAGAAAGCAACCAAACTCAGGGAGCACAAGGACCCTACAATCATTGGCATTTCTGGAATGCGTGGGGAGCCTTTTGAATGGCGGTTGATAAATCATAGTTAGAATTGGAAGTTCAGTTAGAAAAGGATCAGTGACTCCTACATTCTTTATTTTAGCTTTCTTAAAACTGCTGTGGGCTATTTCCTTCCTGGTCTGTGATTCTGGAGTACGTGATTCCGATGCGTGACATACAATTCTAGATTAGATGGACCCGTATCCTGATCCTCCAGAACAATTCTTCCTTTGCCATGTCTTATAATAATGGATTTTTTCCCTTCAACTCTCTTTAAATATCAGATTCCGATTGCGCTCTAGAAGAAGAGCCCACTCAGGCATTTGACTTCAGTTCACCCTTTTTACCCGCCAAATGTCAACTCAGGAATGGTGAGTCTTTTTTCCAACAAGAGGAGGTTTTCCCAAGATGGAATTTGTTGTCCAGGGCTAACCCAGATGACAGGGTCAAAAGGGGGGATATACATTCTTTTAGATTGCACTACTTGTATTGAATTTCTTGGTCCACAACCCATTTTTTTAAAATCAGTTTAATCTCTTTTTGCACCATGCTCTAAATCTCTCATTTGCTTATCTCCTCTTCACTGATTCTACCTGAAAATTCCTTAATAATTATTTAGGATCTGATCTCATTTTCTCAAGATCACATTACAAGCAGTCCTCGATTTACGACCACAGCTGAGCCAAATTTTCTGTTGCTAGGAGAGACAATTAAGTGAATTTTGCTCTATTTTATCACCTTTCTTGCCCCAGTTGTTAAGTGAATCATTGCAGTTGTTAAATAGTAGCAGTTGTTAAGTGCATCTTGCTTCCCCCATTGATTTTTGCTTGTCAGAAGGTCGCAAAAGGGGATCACATGACCCTGGGACACTGCAACCCTCATAAATATGAGTCAGTTGCCCAGTGTCTGAATTTTGATCACTTGAATATGGGGATGCTACAATGTTGTAAGTGTGAAAAATGGTCATAAGTCACTTTTTTCGGTGCTGTTGTATAACTTTGAACAGTCACTAAATGCGCTGTGGTAAATTGAGGACTACCTATATTCTAAAGCAGAGGTCTCCAACCTTTTGGGCACCAGGGACTGCTTACGTGAAAAGAGGTTTTTCCACAGATCGGAGGGGGCGTGGTTTTGTGTACTGCCTGCAGCCCTCGGATGGGGCTTTGCTTATTTGTGTCGCCCAGTTGCTGGCATGCCGCTGCCTGGTACCAGTTCACAGCCCGGGGGTTGGGGACCCCTGTTCTAAAGGAGCTGCATCTGACAGCCCTTTTTAGAAAGGAAATGCCTCAGAGTGGGGGAGAAAGTGTTTGTCTTTATAGCATATGTTTGTCTTTATAGCATATGGCAGTAGTGAGGTTAATTCACACCCCATCCTCTGTTTAGAGTACTCTCTTTAAAAAGATCTTTGCATAGTTGAACTTTTCTGAGTTTTCTTAGAAAGCAATCTTGTGAAAGAAGAAAAGGTTGGGTTGGCAGGGCTTCTTGGATTTTCAGAAATATAATTAAGAGCATTTTGTATCAGCAAACGTAGATTCTGTAAGTAAAGAATGGTATTTACTTTATTTACAGCATTTAAAATCTTGTTCCTCAATTAAGAAACATCTGCCTGAGGTTCACATAGGTTGGTCTATGTTTCTGCTTATACAGGTCGTCTTTGACTTATGAATGTAATGAAAACTGGAATTTCCACTGTAAGTCATGATGGTCGTAAGTCAAAACACCACATGACCAGATCCAGTTTTATGACTTTATTTTGTAGTGGTCATTAATCCAAGGCCACAGTCATTAAATGAACATGGCGGTCATTAATACAAATTAATGTGTTCCTATGGGTGTTTTTTGCGGAAACCAACCGAAAAGGCTGAAACTGGCAAAAAATAAATAGTAAATTGTGGTCATGTGATTGGAATTGTCAAAGTTCTGACTAATAAAACACTTCAAAGAACTTGCAGGCATTGGGGCGATCCATGAGAAGGGCCCGGCCCAGCTCGCCTCTGGAATCGCTGCCGCGCTCCCCCCCCCCATCCCACCTGGCCTAGCCCTCAGAACCAATCCTTATCCCGAAGTTACGGCTAACATTGGATGTTCTTGCTTCTGACAGGAATACTGCAACTGGCTGTAAAGGTGAGCCAGTTACCAAGTGCCCGAAATGCAGTCATTTGATTGTGAGGGTTTGTGTAGCTGTTGGAACTTGATTAGTTTTTTTTGGGAGGGGGTTCCATTATAACGACGAATGGTTGCTAAGCTACCTGTATTTTGAAAAGATGTGACACAATAGGGTCGGCAAGGGTAAACGAAATATAGAAACAATTCACCAATTCTGCATATGTTAAATAACAGTTCTTATAAATGATCTCATCTCCCAACTTCCCCTGGGCAGAGTGCCCAATCGTGAGGGAAGCTGGGAATTGTAGTTCAGCAATAGCTTGGAAGGCCAGCTGCATCAAGAATTGCCTTTACATCCCAGTTTCCTGAAGCTCACACTTGATCTGCCTCTTGTCACTTGAGGTAGAGAGTGACTGGACAGCAGAACTGCCAAGGTGAAGGGAAGTGATAGCTTAGGACCTTTTAAATCAGTGTTTCTCAACCTTGACAATTTTAAGGCATGTGGACTTCAACTCCCAGAATTCCACAGCCAGCATTGCTGGCTGTGGAATTCTGGGAGTTGAAGTCCACATGCCTTAAAATTGTCAAGGTTAAGAAACACTGTTTTAAATTGTAGCTGGGCTACTTCTCATAGACGGGGAGGGGAGCGATTGCAACTTGGTATGATAAACAGGAAGATCCTGGTAGAGCTTAAAGGTTTCCTTCACCTGATTCCCCTCTAAATAAATACATGGATTCTGGTCCCCATCCTTTCAGCAAGGATTGCTACTGGCCAATTTCCAGCCTTTTCCACAAAAAATGCACATAGGAATACATTAATTTGTGTTAACGGCCGCCACGTTCGCTTAATGACTATGGCGTTGAGTTAAAGAGCGCTACAAAATAAAGTCGTGAAATCAGATCTGGTCCTGTGGTGCTTTGACTTATTGTGACTTACAATGGAAATTCCAGATTCCATTACGTTGGAGATCAAGGCAATTGTCACCCCGAATATCTGGAAGGGCATTAGGGAGGGAAGGCCTGCTTAGCCCTGAGAACAAACGAAGACAATTATTCTCCACTCGTTGTCCTCCTAGTAACCAGCTTACCTTTGAAAGACAACAGTTCTGACCAAGAAGATGATATGCTGGAAGCTACCCAGCCATATTGTCAGGAGCCTGAACCCGAAGCCTTAGCAGAGCTTTGCGAGGCCTTGGCTGGCAAAAAGAAGCTGGACCCAGAACGGCTTGTCCAGAACCAACCCGAAGGGGAGAAATGTTTTGAGCAGGTGCCTCACCCTGATTTCCCAGCTTCAACCTCTCCGGGAGAAGAGACCACCCCCAGTCTTCCAGGAGACAACCCTCTGCCTCAGGCTATGGAGTTGCCCCCTCCGCAGTCCTCCTCGAAGACAGCAGGGGGCGCCTCTGAAGAGGAAACCCAGCCTCTCTGCTCTCTGCAAATCCCCCTGGTGGCCAGCCAGTGGTCCTTGACTCCACAGGAAGAGAAGAGGGTGGAGGTCCCAGAAGGTGGAAGCCCTTCAGAGGTGATGCTCAGACAGAGTGAGGCAAGTGAGTGGCAAGCGCACGAAAAATGGTTTTGGGGGGAATGCATGGATTATGGTTCTGTGATGGGCATTGCCGAAATGCTTCGTGGGGGCAATCTTTGATGAGCCTGTTTGATTTTTTCTTTCTTTTTCTTACAAATATAAATTTTCATAGTTCAGCTCTGAATAAGAGGTGAAGAGGCTTCCAACAACCAGAAGCAGCGTTTCTCGACCTTGACAACTTGGTGAAGGCGGGTGGACTTCAACTCCCAGAATTCCCCTGGTTCCTGGAATTCTGGGAATTGAAGTCCACACCTCTTCAATTCGCCAAGTTCAAGAAACACTTGAGCCAGAGGCTGCGATGTCCGCAAGAAAAAAAATTGGTTACAGATTTATAGCCGTCAACTTGTGCCAATTTTTGGGAGATATCTCTAATAATTTTTGGAACATTATATTTACTCACACACTTACCGGCTTTCCACTCATGTAAACTAGGGAGTGACCCTAACATTTTGAGAACATGTATTTTCTTAACAGGGATATTATTATTTACTATTAATGTCAGTACTATTTTTTTTAATATATTGTAAAAAGTGACGTCTATTGTTGGTCTATGACCGTAATGAAGTAGTAGTAGTAGTAGTAGTAGTAGTAGTAGTAGTAGTAGTAGTTGTTGTTGTTGTTGTTATTATTATAGAGGCTGCAATTTACATTTAGGGTGATACCAAGGGGCTGTGTTGCAGATGGCAAAGGCTCCAGATTATGTAATTTATGTAAATTTATTTGTTGTTTTTTTCAATTTCTATGGCCACCCAACTCAGCCAAGTGATTTCGGTCAGCTTACGAGCGTTAAAACTTTAAAATAATTTCAAAAGCATTAAAACAATAAAAACATCCACAAAATAAATACATACACACATAAACATCCGTGATGATTAATCTGCTAATAGTGAAGCCGAGCATTGGGGTCCTTCATACATTTTGAGTCCTAGGCCTGGGAACATAGCCAAGTGTTCAAAATCCTGGATTTATTTTTTTCTTTTGCTCAGAACTGGGGAGGTTTTATCTCTGTTCTATTTGTGTTTTTAAAGCACTACTGGGTGGACTTTAGAGCTTTTGCAGCCCTAGATTTGAAAACTATTCATCTTTGCTCTCAATCAAGTGTAAATATTTTTAAACTGGAGGGTCGTATTCCTCTTCCAGTCCTGGAGTTCCTTTCTGTCTTCTCCACATGTAAAGAGTTCTCGTTGGCTTCTCTTATTCTCCCATATCTTGAGACGCTGTTGCAAAATGGGTCTTCTCTTCCTGCTTTAGCACAGCTTCATCCCCTCCTTGGGCAGAGAAAGCTTTGAAGCTTTCGTCTTCCAGCATAAATCCAAAATATTCCACGGGTCCGCTGGAACTGGTCTTTAGCTTCACTCCAGCAGTGTTTGTGATTCCTTTCGAGATGAGTCATAGGCATCCTGTGGGCCACATGCAATCTGGATTGAGGGCTGTAAGGGAAACATCACCTAGAACAGGAGTCCTCAACCTTGGCCACTTTAAGACTTGTGGACTTCAACTCCACTTTGCTGGCTGAGGAATTCTGGGAGTTGAAGTCCACAAGTCTTAAAGTGGCCAAAGTTGAGGACTCCTGATCTAGAATCCATATTGGGGGTGGTGGTGTCTAACAGGCTCAAATTGATACCTCCAAGTCCAAATAGAAGTTGTAGGTCAGAGTTGGGGAGACAGGAATGTGACCTTCAATCCTGCATGCTCCAGGCTGCTCTTTTCATGAGTTGTGTACAAGTGACCCTCAATTTACAACCAGTCATGAATTATGGTAAATTGGGTTGTCGTGACTGGACCCGATTTTATGGTTTTTTTTTTTTTTTTTTTTTGCTGCAGTCAATGAGCAAAGGCCACAGTGGTAAAGCGAGTGCCACTTTTGTTAAGTAAAGGTTCTGGTCACGAATACATTGTTTGCTATGGGATGGAAACTGGGGAAAAAATATTGTAAATACAGGTCAGTTGGTGGGCGCTCAAAATGGAGTCGTGACTGGAGGGGGAGGGAACACAATAACTTCAGCACAATGTCATAAGTAGCTTTTGGAGGGTCCATTGTAGCTTTGAATGGTTGCTAAGCAACCAGTCATGTCAATTATATAGCCAAAAACTCTGGCAGGGAGCTAGGGTTATAATGTATTGGTGTGGTATATCGATAGAGTTTAGGTATGGGAAACGGGTCTATATTTTAGTAAGTCCGTCTCTCTGCTCTGCCCCCTGGTGGCAAAAAATTGAAACGATGTTTTTCAATCCAGGCTGTTTCATCCTTTGACTTTTTCTAGCTCCTCTGGATGACCAGGTGGAAGAAAACTCGGAATTAGTAAGAGAAACAAGGAATCCTAAGAAGGTAAGCATCAGATTCATCTTTATTTAACACCGTCTTATTTTTATAAATTCATAGATACATACATTGTGTGTGTGTGTGTTGTGTGTGTGTAAAATATAAATTATACAATATATAAATATTATATATATATAATATTTATTTATATAATATAAACACTAATATATAATATATAAATAATAGTTATTATTACATAGATATATATACAGTGGATAGACATTTGCTAAAATGATGATTATAAATATATAAATATAAATAGTTATAACTGAATGAAATAAATTATTTAATGAATGCCTCATGGTAGTGAACATACCTAACATTCCTCCCTTCTCCACTTTTCCCCACAACAACAACCTTGTGAGGTGGGTTGGACTAAGGGTGACTGGCATTCTTCATGAATCAAGGATTGATTTGGTGACGTTTTTCTTGTCTCATGGGGTAGAACAAGATAACCGTGATTTGTAAACTGTGGTTTGCTATGAGAACTCAACAAATTGTGGTTTGTTCAACCCCCCCACCTGGTTAACCGAATTATGATTTGGCATGATGCCTGACCTCCATACGATACCTCTAGGTGCCAGCCGAGAAAGATCCGGCGTCAACAGCGCCCCCTGCCCGTGAGCTGCGGCGCAGTCTGCGATCTTCAACCGCTTCCGCTTCACCTGCCCCTGTCCTAGAAAGACGAAGCCTCCGCCAGCACGGATCTGGGGCCGTCGTCGCATCCGGCAAACCAGCTGCCCCAGAGAGCAGGCGTAGAGGGCTCCGGCAGCTCAGCAAAGCAAGTCAACGAAAGAGGGAAGTGAAGGAGAGGCCAGAGCAGCCTGGAGAAGAGGGGCCCAGGAAAAAGGCCAGGAATGGGGACCTGACCGCTACTCCTGTCCCTCAAGCTCAAACGAGGAGCTCCCAGAGGGAATCCAGGGCTGCCAGCAAGGTTACAGAAGTAGCAGCTGCCGTCTCGGTTAGCCCTGGGGCCAGGGAGCCCACAAAACGGGCCAGGAGGGGTCTTGCTCCCAGCCCTGGGCTAGAAGGGCAGCCGGAGCGTCCAAGGACTCGGGCCAGCAAGCTGTCCAGCAGCAGCAGCATTTCCATGAGCACCCCGAGCCCAAAGGATTCTGGGAAAAGTGCCAAGCCTGGGCAGGTGGGTATCCAAGCAGAGGAAGGAGAAGCTGCCTCACCCAAAGAAAGCTTCCCCCCCCAGTTCAGGACAATGGACCCTTAATTGAATCATTAGAAGGACCACGTCCCCCTCTAAACCAGTGGTTCTCAACCTGTGGGTCGGGACCCCATTTGGGGTCGAACGACCATTTCACGGGGGTCGCCAAACAACGCAGTCCGCCATTTTTTCCCCCTTTTCCTTAGCTGTGCTACTCCCTTTTATTCTATTGGCTTTCAAAAGCCAATAGGAATTGTCCAGGCTGTCTCTGCCCTGTTGAGCCCGCCAAAAGTCCCATTCTGCAAACGATGCTGCATCAGTTGAGTAGTCCTCCACTTACGACCGGTTGAGTAGTCCTCGACTTACGACCGGTTGGGGGTCGCGGCATTAAAAAGGTTGAGAACCACTGCTCTAGACCTTATATATCTATAGCTGCGTAGACTGGTGGATAGTGCTTTTCTTCCACATCTTTTCTGGTTGAAACCTGGCCCTTAACAGCCACAGGTGTCATAAGCGGCCTTAGGCAGACCTAGCGGGGGTCATGCTCATCAGTCATCTTAAATGGGAGGGTCTCCAAAGTTCCACAAACCAATGGGGAGCATCCATCCCCAACCTGCTGCCTTCTCTGATATGTTGTGACTGCAGCTCCCACAGTTCCTTGCTATGCACCTTTGATCACTTCGTACAGATAGTCCTCGACTTACGACCACAATTGAGCCCAAAATTTTCTGTTGCTGAGCGAGACAGTTAAGTGAAGTTTGCCCCGTTTTATGATCTTTCTGGCTACAGTTGTTAAAGTGAATCACTGTAGTTGTTAAATTAGCAAGTGGGTTGTTAAGTGAATCTGGCTTCCCCATTGACTTGGCTTGTCAAAAGGTCGCAAAAGGGGATCACATCACCCCAGGGCGACTGCAACCGTCATAAATAGGAGTCAGTGGCCAAGCATTTGAACTTTGGTCACGTGACCATGGGGACGCGGTAATGGTTGTGTGAAAAATGGCCGTAAGTCACTTTTTTAAGTGCCATTGTAACTTGGAACAGTCAGTAAATGAGTTGTAAGTCGAGGACCGCCTGTACACAGCTGCATAAGCTGAGGCTTGAATATCGGCAAGCTGGCAAGTCTATGTTAAAATATGTGTCAGTAAAAAGGTTTCTAGAAACCTGGCTAGTCTCTTGGTGCTCTGAAGCTAACAAACTTGGGGCTTTGTGGAGCGGGGCCACCTGTCCCTGGACAGTGTGACTCTTGGTGGTCTGTGGGCAGGGGGCCCCCATCCAGGAGGTGAGTGGTGTGCTCAGGTTTCGTGAGCCTAAAGTGGCAGTGCTCTTTCAGCAAGTCTTCTTAGAATTGGGGACTGATCTGCTTTTCCTGTCTTCTCCAGGAACAAATACTGTCCACTCCGTCTTCGGGAAGGAAGTTGCGGCATCACAGCCCGGAAGACAGAGCGACAAGTGAAAAGGCCTCATCTGGCAGTCGCAACCAGCGCTCCACTGGATTTGCCAGTCCTGCTCCCAAGGTATGGCGGGTACGTATTATAGCATAGCAGGGGAGGGGTTGGGCCCGGACAAGGGAAGATGGCCATTTGAGTGGGGGCACTGCATCGTTAACAAGAATGTTTATTGAATCTCCTCCATCTTTTCCTTTCAGGTGCTGTTCACGGGTGTGATTGATGAGGAGGGAGAGCGTGTAGTGGCCGAATTGGGGGGTTCTCTAGCAAAATCTGTCTTTGATTGCACTCACCTTGTGACGGACCGTGTGCGTCGCACGGTCAAGTTCTTGTGTGCCCTGGCTCGAGGAATCCCTATTGTGACCCTTGACTGGCTGGAGAAGGTAATCCATTTTTTTGGATACTCGGAATTATGGACATATGTCATGACAATCGTTAATAGCAATTGCGCATAGACTTATATACCACTTCACAGTGCTTTGCAGCCCTCTCGAAGCAGCTTAGGGAGTCAGCACCTTGCCCCCCAACAATCTGGGTCCTCAATTTATCGACCTCGGAAGGATGAAAAGCTGGATCAACCTTAAGCTGGTCAGGATCAAACTGCTGGCAGTGGGCAGAGTCAACCTTCACTGCTGCATTCCAACCACTGTGCCACCAGGGCTGCCCCACACATCTGTGCCCAATTTCACGACCTTTTTTGTGATGGTTGTTAAGCAAATGTGGCAGTCATAAAGCAAGCACACTGAGGTTGTTAAGTGAATCCCTTGTCTGCAATAGTTTTTTTTTTGTTTTTTTTTAAACTGGAAATTGGAAGTAAATTCTGGTATCCAGCAAAAACATGGTAAATTATGGTTTTGTGACTGAGCAATGTTGAAAATGGCTGAAGCACAGGTCGGTTGCTGAATGCCCAAAATACAGTCATGTGGCTGCAGGGTGGAACAGCTCTTGGAGCTTTGAATCTGGGTCATATGTAGCTCTGGGAAGGTCTGTCGTAACTTCAACCAGTCACTAAATGACTGGTTGTAAGCTGAAGTCTGCCATACAGGTTGTCCTCGACTTATCTCAATTGAACTGAAAACTTCTGCTGCTAAGTGAGAATTTGTTAAGTGAGTTTTGCCCCAGGTCGTGACCTTTCTTGCCACTGTTAACAAGTGAATCCCTGGAGCTTAAAGTTAGTAACACGGTTGTTAAGTGAATCTGGTTTCCCCATTGACTTTGTTTGTCAGAAAGGTTGCAAAAAGGGATCGCGTGACCCTAGGACACCGCAACTGTCATAAATGTGAGTTAGTTACCAAGTGTCTGAATTTTGATTATGTGACCGTGGGGACGCAGCTACAGTCCTAAGTGTAAAATATGGTAGTCGCTTTTTTCAGTGGTGTTGTAACAGTCACTAAATGAACTATTGTTAAGTCGAGGACTACCTGTACTTTTCCACTATGTTTTCAAGCCAGATGTCATGGTTCCGACAGGTGAAACTCTTCAAAGAACTTCAAGGCATTGTTTCCTTTAAAGAATCTTTATTCAAGAAACATAACATCTAGGGCACTAGTATAATCGAAGCCAAAAACTGAATTCCCCTCCTCCTGAGTACATCGTATCAAAGCACAATTCCCTCCTTCAATTAACAGTCATAAATCACATTCCCCAATTAGCTTGAAGCCTGGGCCAGTTCTCCAGCCTGCCAATTCCTTATCAGCTCTGGTTACAATAACCTTGTTTCTCATGCTAAGTCTAGTGTTGTTATGCCTAGCTGAACTCTCGTTCACATCCCCCCTCCCAGCATCATCTAACTCTAAAAGCAAAAGATAAAAGATGGCTACATTTCCCTTTGTTGTCAATGCAGAAATATCTGAAGTTAGCAGCGTTGTCACCAGATTGATGCAGTCCAAAGCCCAGCTTAATGCCCTGCAAGGTGTCTGCTAGTAGATTTTTGTGAGAAATAAATTGAATCAAGGACTGGCGTCTCCCAAGTCCATTGCGCTTCGCTCCCAGGGAGATTTCACGCTGCTGCTCTGCATGTTTTATTGCTCTGACTCTGTTTCTGCCCGTTCAGCTTCTGCTGAGACCAAATGAATTCTTTTCACACCTCTGCACCAGTATATTATTTTTCCCAATGCAGGTAATCCTCGACTTAACGATCACGATTTAACCTAAAATTTCTATTCTGAAGCAAAACAGTCGTTAAGTGAATTTTGTCCCCAGTTCTTGCCAGAATCGAATCACTGCAGTTGTTAAGTTAGTAACCTGGTGGTTAAGTAAATCTGGCTTCCCCGTTGACTTTGCTTGTTGGAAGGTCGCAAAAAGGGATTACATGACCCTGGGACACTGCAACCGTCATAAATGTGAGTCAGTCGCCAAGCGTCTGAATTTTGATCATGTGACTATTGGGACACATCTACAGTCCTATGTGTGAAAATGGTAGTCACTTTTTTCAGTGGTTAGGTCGCAAAAGATGATCACAAGACCTATGGACACTGCAACTGTTGTAAATATGAACCAGTGGCTATATATTTGCGGTATTCAAGATTAGTCAGAACAGTGACTCGTGCAGGAGCGCCAGGAGCACCCTTGTCTGAAGACGAGACGTTCTATCTTTTCTGAGTTGCTGAGTGGGATTTGCTTTGTGCCGGAACGTGAATATTCCTAAATGGGCAGGGATAGCTCAGTGAAAATCTGCAAGCTTTGCATCCAGCTACTTCCATTTAAACATCCTCCAATAGAGAACAACCTGGGACAGCCAAGAGCACAATCCTGGGCCTGCCACTGATCTGGGAAAGGAACCGCTGATTAAGGCAGTGCCGTGTTTGGGATTCAGTTGGGGTGAGGTGCGTTGGAATGCACAGGAGTGCAAATTCAAGCATTTGTCGGCAACTCCTTAGAATTCCGTCTGCGTACAAATGCAGCATCCGCCAGCACTTCCTTAAAACTACAGGCAGTCCTCGGCTTACAACAATTCATTTAGTGACCGTTCAAAGTTACAACGGCACTGAAAAAAGGAAGTTCTGGCTGTCTTTCACACTTAACGACCGTTGCAGCATCCGCATGGTCAGGCGATCAAAATCCAGGAGCTTGTCAACTGACTTGGTATTTATGACGAAGGTATTTATATGATACCCTTTTGGGACCTTCTGACAAGCAAAGTCAATGGGGAAGACAAATTCGCTTGACAACTGGGTTATTAACAGCTGCAGTGATTCGCTTAACATTCGCTTAACGGCAAGGAAGGTCATAAAATGGGGCAAAGTTCATTTAATAACTGTCGCTTAGCCACAGAAATACGGGGCTCAATTGTAGTTCTGAGTCGAGGACTATCTACTTCATGTGCGCCGGGCCCATGCAGCTGCTGAAGGGCGATGTGCTGGAAAAATCATGAGCCTATACATCAGTGGTTCTCAACCTGTGGGTCGGGACCCCATTTGGGGTCGAACGACCATTTCACGGGGGTCGCCAAACAAGGCTGTCCGCCATTTTTTCCCCTTTTCTTTGGCCGCGCCCCTGGCACCCGGTGATGTATAAGTGGTTGGGGGTCACCACAACATGGGGAACTGTATTATGGGGTCGCGGCATTAGAAAGGTTGAGAACCACTGCTATACATAGTGCAGCTGATTTAATGAACCTTCCAAGCATTATACTATGAAGTGCCTCTTCTGCAGCCCTCCGGTTTATAGCGTCTTGTAAATGGTTTGATTCATGGCTCCAGGAATGATGTGATCTGCTTCCAGGGAGGAAAGGAAAACGTTCCTCTATGTTAGGGGTCTCCATGGCCGGCATGGCCGGCTGAGGAATTCTGGGAGTTGAAGTCCACCAGTCGTAAAGTGGCTAAGGTTGGAGATCCCTGCTCTGTGTGGTTGATCTTCCTTCTTATTCATACTTCCACCCCACAGAGCAGACGGAATGCTTTTTTCCTGGCGCCAAACAGCTTCCTTGTTCGGGACCCTGAGCAGGAGAAGAACTTGCGGTTCAGCCTCTCCACCTCGCTGCAGAAAGCACAGCAGAAAGGAGCCCTGTTCCAGGTGAGTCCATCATTTGCTGTGCTGGGCCCAGGCGGTTCCCCAAGAATCCAGTACCCAGACTGCCATGATGGAGAGGTACCCTCGACTCACTTATAGCTTTCCCCGGTGCTGAAAAGCTCCAGATGCAAAAAAAATAATAAAAAAAATAATCCTAGTTTGAATTTATGACTTGTGAACTTCAACTCCCAGAATCCCTGAGCCAGCCATGCTGGGTCAGGAATTCTGGGAGTTGAAATTCACAAGTCATAACGGGGTCATTGCTCCCCAACCTCTGTTCTAAACTAATTTCTCTCCAGTCTAGTGGTTTCTAGGCCTATGAAACCACAACTCCATAATCACAAGTCCCCACACACCTGTGAACAGTGTATTTGGGGATTGCGGTGAATGTAATTTGAGTCGCAAACACACCTATAAAGGGAAGGGGGACTGGGTTGGTGAAAGCTGCAAATTTGGCTTTAGGTCCATCAGCAGCCGGTCTGCTACGGTATGATGTTCCTTTCCTTTTTTTGCCCACATTCCTGGCAAACATAGGTAGTCCATGATTTGAGACTGGAATTACAGTTGTAAGTCATTGTGGTCGTTAAGTGGCTCATACATGACCGTCCCTTATTGTATATTGTGGCAGTTGTTAAACAAATGCCAGTGCCATTGAGCAAACGTGGTTGTTGAGCCAAGGCAGTGATCATTAAGCAAATCCAATTTATAAAACGTGTGTTTTTTGCTGGAAACCAGCAAAAAAAAAAAAAAAGGCAAAAATTATGGTCATATGTAAGTCGCTGAAAATGGCTATGTGAGCTGGTTACCCAGGCACCCAAACTGTGATCGCATGATCACCAGAGAGGGGGGTAATCATCAGAACTTCCAAAATTGGGTCATAAGTACCTTTGCGGAGATGGGTTTGTCATAACCTCAAATGGTGGTTATGTAACTGGTCGTTAAGTGAGGACTACTTGTAGTAGCAGTAGTAGTACCCCAGAGTTTCTTTCTTTCCAGGGCTACGAAATCCATGTCACTCCTAACGTGAAGCCAGAACCAGAGTACATGAAGGACATCGTTAAATGCAGTGGTGGGACTTTATTACCAAGAATGCCTCGGGCCTTTAAGGTGAGTGGGAGGCATTATTTTGTTGTTGTTTTTTTTTATTACTACACCGAGTTATAAATTGGGCTGAGAGAGGGTGGCTGGGCCCAGACTTCAGCGGAGAACTTCCATGGCTGAGGAGGACTACAACGTGGGCCTCCCTGCTCCTTGTCCAACACCTTCAACATTACCCTGGTTGACTTAATTACAGGTAATCCTCGACTTACGCTCACAATCGAACCCAATATTTCCGTTGCTAAGCGAGACAGTTGTTAAGCGAGCTTTGCCCCACTCTAGGACCTTTCTTGCCACAGTTGCTAAGTGAATCATTGCAGTTGTTCAGTTGGTAACACGGTTGTTAAGTGAATCTGGCTTCCCCAACTGACTTTGCTTATTAGAAGATGGCAAAAGGGGCCGCGTGACTCCAGGAGACGGCAGCTGTTATAAATATGAGGCAGTTGCTAATTGTTTTAATTCTGATCCCATGACCACGGAGATGCTGCAACAGTCTTGTGTGAAAAAAGGTCATAGGTCACTTTTCCAGTGCCACGGTAGAATACAATAACAGAGTTGGAAGGGATCTTGGAGGTCTTCTAGTCCAACCCCCTGCTGAGCCAAGAAACTCTATACCATTTCAGACAAATGGCTGTCCAGTCTCTTCTTAAAAACTTCCAGTGTTGGAGCCTTCACTGCTTCTGGAGGCAGGTTGTTCCACTGATTAATTGTTCTAACTGTCAGGAAGTTTCTCCTTAGTTCTAGGTTGCTTCTCTCCTTGGTTAGTTTTCACCCGTTGCTTCTTGTCTGCCCTCAGGCACTTTGGAGAATAGCTTGACTCCCTCTTCTTTGTGGCATCCCCTGAGATACTGGAACACTGCTATCATGTCCCCCCTCGTCCTTCTCTTCATTAAACTAGACATACCCAATTCCAGCAACCATTCCTTATATTTTAGCTTCCAATTCCCTAATCATCTTTGTTGCTCTTCCCTGTACTCTTTCTAGAGTCTCAACATCTTTTTTACATCGTGGTGACTTTGAACAGTCACTAAATGAACTGTTGTAAGTCAAGGACTAGCTACATACTGGTTTTCCAACAGGCAGACAAATTGAAGTGTATTGGGGCCATGCAAAAATGTGACTCAACTCTTTGACTGGGAAAGAGGACGATCTGACCTTTTTGTACCTTGTTTCAGGAGAAACGTATTGTGGTGTCCTGCCCCGAGGACTTGTCGTGCTGCAAACCAGCTCAGGAGGCAGGAGTGCCTGTCACCAACGCGGAGTTCATCCTGACGGGTATTTTGCAGCAGACGGTGGACTTGCAGGCTCACCGCCTGGATGTCCGTGTGGGTCTATCTCCAGCTTCCAGCCCCCTTGTTCCCTCTACCAGGACCAGCAAGAGACGGGCAGCCACACGGACGGCCCCAGCTCCACCCAGCACAGCCAAGAGACGACGCTAATCCCCCCCAATGCACTGCCTTAAAATTGTACATACGGGATTGTGTTTTTTATATACTGCTGCCAATAAACGGGGTGTGAAAAGACTGATGATTTTGGAATGGGGTCTTTGCGCTGTGACTTGGGGGAGAGGGAGAAAAACTCTTTTCTAAATCAGGAGTGGTTTAATACAGAGGTCCCCAACCTTTTGGGCACCAGGGAGAGGTTACGTGGAGAGAGGTTTTTCTATGAACCGGAGGTTGCGTGGCTTTGTGTGCTGCCTGCATCCTGTGGATGGGGCTTTGTTTGTGCGGACCGGTTGCTGGCATGCTACGGCCCTACCGGTCCACAGACTGGGGGTTGGGGACCCCTGGTTTAATATTTTTAGAAATTTAGATTTAAACCCGAGGCATTCAACCCTGGTAACTTTAAGATCCGTGAACTTCAACTCCCAGGATTCTCAAGCCAGCCATGTTGGCTGGGGAATTCTGGGAGTTGAAGTCCACAGGTCTTAAAATTACCAAGGTTGGACATCCCTGATTTAAATGGTTTAACTAGTTTTAGAAATTTACATTTAATGGGCTTACGAAGAATTTAGGCACCAGCACCTTCTGATATAGCAACCAAAAGGTAGTCCTCATGGCAGGGATTTCTGTGTCGTTTTACTGTTAGGGTGACTCGCTGGAATCGCAATGATGCCAAAATAAACAGATGCGCCCTTAAAATGGGCAGTTTACAGTCAGTTTGAAAGCTGCTCCAGCTTTGATAACAGCCTGTCAAAGACTGAATTCCAAAAAATGGGCAGAATTGGGGAGCAATGCCTGAAAAAAGCACAGAAGTTAAAAATTAAAAAAAAGCATCAATTGTATTTTTTTTTTAAAAAAAAATAAAAATAAAATAGGAATTGAGGTAAAAGGTAAAGATTTTTCTGTCAGTTGTATCCAAATCTAGGGCATGGTACTCATCAGTTTCTTGGCCGAGAGAGCCAGAGTTTTCTGAAGACAATTTCTGTGGTGATGTGGGCAGCATGGCTGTACACCAAAGGCACACAGAACTCTCTTACCTTCCCATCAAAGTGGTACCTATTAATCAACTCAGATTTGCGTGCTTTCAAACCGTGAGGTGGGCAAGGAATGGGAGTTCACCCCATTGCACGGGCCCGGGCTGTGAGCTCTTTAGCTGACAAGCTCAGGGTCTTTAACCGCTGAGCCATCAGGCCCTTTTTAGGGATTGAGGAGGCATCCTCAAAATTCTGCTAGGCCTCATTCAGCCTGCCTGCTGTGGTTTTTGCATTTGCCCCCCTGATTTTGGGGCCAAATTAAGAGAAAATGGTGTTTACCTGATCAGTGAATTGTGTAAAATTTCACAGAAAACAAGAGTTGGGTTTTCCCCTTCATTTGTGTGCTGTAAGCCTGAGGGGGTCAGTACAAAAGTACAAAAAGCCTTTGGTGTGAATAGGGAGCAGATGTGGATCAGGAAGGTAACAGAAAACAAAGCCCACTGACTTGTACCAAGCTCCACAATTTTATCAGCCTAAATGCATACAGGCAGTCCTTGACTTACAACCATTTGCTTAGTGACTGTTCGAACAGCATTGAAAAAAGTTACGACCGCTTTTCACCTATGACAATTGCAGCATCTCCATGGTCATGTGATCAAAATTCAGATAGTTAGCAGCTGACTCATATTTATGATGGGAGCATCATCACTTTTTGTGACCTTCTGACGAGTAAAGTCAATGGGAAAGCCAGATTCACTTAACCATGTTACTAACTTAACAACCGCACTGATTCATTTAACAATTGTGGCAAGAAAGTTTGTAAACTGGTGCAAACTCACTTAATTATCTTAACAGAAATTTTGGGCCCCATTGTGGTCATAAGTTGAAGACTACCTGTACTTTAAAAAAAAAAAAAAAAAACCACACACCATGGACCGAATCACTTATTTCTTTGGATCTAACTGAGATAATCACTAGTTTAAACCTCAGCTTCTAACATGACCTTGCTTTGTTCAGGGCTGAGCCTTTTTTATTGATCTCTAGTGGATCGGCAAGAATTTCTGACATTGTTAAATTGCACCAAGGAGACAAGCTTTCCTCACCCCAAATTTTATTTCTGAAGCTGAAGTATTCTATGCCATCTGGAGGTGTGTATGTGTGTGCATTTTTGAGCTACAGCATTGGTTGTTTGGTGTAGAACAAAATGTCTGCACTCAAAATTCTTTAAATCTACTATTTTGACTTCTTACCTTAGGCCTCAGTTGAGTGAATTTCATTTTCTGCTTTTCCAAGCCCTTAATACTGTAGATACTTCACTCAAGGTTATGTGATTGGGAGGTGTGTGTGTGGGGGGGGGTCTTAAGGATGGAGTACTCAACAACATGCAAAGCCAACTCTTGCTTCTTCTCCCATCAAGATGCATTGAGGAAAACCCCTGGATTTGGCCCCTTTATGACTTGTGGACTTCAACTCCCAGAATTCCTGAGCCAGCATGGAGCTGAAGTCCACAAGTCATAAAGGGGCCATCATTCCCCATCCTTGCTCTATAGCAGGGGTGTCAAACTCAATCTCACTGAGGGCCGCATCAGCATTGCAGTTGCCCTCGGGGGCAGGGTGGGTGTGGATGGAGTAGGTGTGGCCTACTGGGTGGGCGTGGATGGAGTGTGTGTGGCCTACTGGGTGGGCATGACCAATACTACATCATTCGCATCAAGGGTGTCTGTGGGGGCCTGGGCAGGAGTGGGACAGATCTGAGGGTCTCTGGCAGAAGGGGGTGGGACCGGGGCAAGTGCCAAGGCATGGTCCACCGGGGCAAGTGCCTAGATGGCCACCACAAAATTGTACATTGGCTCCCGGCTGGCCTGGGCCAGGGCCAAGGCAGCGAGGGCCGTTCCCTCACTGTTTCCAGGATGGCTTCGCGGGCCACATGAAACCACTTCGCGGGCCACATCCGGCCCCCGGGCCTTGTGTTTGACATGTTTGCTCCATAGCCTCAGCTGAATCTGGCCCATTTTTAAAACACTTATTTATATCCAGCCTTTATTACTTTTACAAACGGTCCATATTAAATCTGGTTTCTTGCTCCACATCAAATAGGGTCCCATTTGTTCTGTAGTTTTGGGGGAGCTAGTCTGAGATAAATCAGCAGGCATACTGTCCTGGTTCCGGTAGATGAGACCAACCAAAACAGAACTCTGAGGTCTGAGGTTTCCTTTAAGAACATGTTTATTGGCTACAAAATATGGGCGCTGTCAAAAGTGAAATGAAGACTAAAGCTCCCTCCAAAAAGTTACAGTATACAAAGTTAAACTTCCCACCCCATTACTATGCAACCAGCTACATTTCTCAATAGATTAGTTTGGCGGGCTTTCTAACTGAAAGCTCAGCCTCCCAGTCTAACAAACAGAAATGACCTTGGTTCCCACGTGACAAAGAATTGTTTAAGCTAGTAGAAAAATTCCACCACTTCCCTTCCCATTCTGTAGGCAACCGAAAACGAGCCAAATGGCTTCATTCAGGTTCGTTGCAGAGTTGACACATACTTTGTAATTCCAAAATGGTGTTGGCTTGGAATGTATGAAAACTAAACCAAGCAGAACTTGTCAACCTGAAATTCAGTCCGTGTGAATTGTGTGAAACACTCTTGTCTGTTCTCAGGAAACTGAAGTGTGACGTGTGGAGATAGGCCATAGCTATTTTCCTGTTTAGCTGTCAAGACAATGGGATAATTTGAACTGCTCTGAATGCCCCCAAAGTGCTTAGAAACTCCCAAGTTGTAGTATCTAAGAATCAGAGCTGCTGACTTAAAAGTAGCCAGCAAAATTGGTTTCCATCTGCCAATCAATCAAAGAATTATGTATCAAAGAAAGTGGCTTTTTCTAATTAAAAAGTAAGTATACCTGTTTAATATTCAAATTGTGTAAGGTATACTTACACAATCTGGCAAAATCTGAGCAAATAGCAGGTTGGCAGGTGTATGGAGTCTTTTGTGATTTAGTCTCTAAATCAGTGTTTCTAAAATGTTCTGCCATTGTGGACTTCTAAATTAAACCATAGTTTGGAAAATGTAAGGACCATTCTAGTAAAAGAAGAATGTGAAACATCTGGATTTTTGTTCCCCAATTCTTTCATCTGCCACGGACATAGGATGGTCTATGTTCTATGTAACAAATAACATGTTCCTTCTGGATATTTGTATGTGCTTGAAATATCATTGACTTTCTTCCTGGTTTTCCTTACACGCCTTTGACTGAGCAGACCGTAGGAAACAATTTTTAAACTACAAAGAATCACCAAGAAAGTGTTGAAGGATAATTTATCTTTTAGTGTAATTCAGTCACCCTCAAGAAAAACAGAAACTGCTGGGGAAAAAAGACACATAGCTTCATGAAACTGATTTATGAAAGAACTTACTGTGGAACTATCTTTCAATCAATCCTTTAAAAAAAAAAGAGGCAGGTTAAAACAAAACAAAAGCCATTCTTCTAATTGCTTTCAACATGAAGCAATGTGGAAGGCTTGTGAAGTCTTCAAAAAGGGATCGGACCATTTTAATTAAACAAGCAGACGTAAATCCATTTTAATCTAACAGGGATCTTTACATGCTCTACATGTAGGACTGGAGATCTACAAATAGCAAAGAATGTTGTCTATTTTGTCCAATGTCACCAGTCCAGTTCATCTGCCTCCATTTCTTACGTGCCCACTCACAGAAGGTAATAGGCACGCCTTTGTGGGAGGCTACAATTGCAATCTTTTCAGTCATCAATCACCTAAAACGTCTTAAGACATCTATCTGTAGATATTCCTTGATTGGTTAACCTGCTGTGATGTCCTATGTTTTCAATGTACTCTTGAAAGACGGAGATCAGAATGCTAAAGGCTGCAACATCTGTTCTAAATGAAGAGGAAGAATATCTGCAAAACTTAGGACAGTGGTAGCGAACCTATGGCATGTGTGCCAGAGGCGGCACTCAGAGACCTCTCTGTGGGCACGCGCACGTCCCGGAGATGGCAGCTATCCCTCTTCAACCAGCCGCCCGCTAACTCACTGAGGTCCCACATGGCCGGATGCATCCCAGCATGGCTGGTTTCCCTCCCCCCCCCG